TTGTTTCTAATGAGAGTCCCAAAGGACTACGCAGGGGGAACATGGGGGGAGTGAGGGAGGGGAAATTAATCCCTTTTAAAGAAAAGTAATTTCAGTATTCCAAAACCTGCCTGGGAGATCTTACGCAATCTGACTCCAGTGGCATGCTGTGGGCTGGCTCCTATGAAACAGCGATGAACTTCTCATTTTCAGTTGTTTCTTTGTTTTGATCTGTCAAGACAATCTTGCTCTATCTTGCTGCTGTTGTCACATAGCATGGAACGTGGATCAAATGAGGATTTGTATGCGACAATGTTGCCTTCAGATCATACTTTTCCTAGTCCTAAAAATTACTTACCGTGCTTTTTAGACATGTTTGGAAAATGCTACAAGTTTGAAACCTCTGGACTCTGTATTCACCTAAGGTGCAAGAGCGTACCTCGACAACCTGCTCGTTAAAGTTAGATGGTCAGAAAGTCTGACCAAGCTCAAAGCCCTGTAGGTTCATGCCACCTGAGGCAGCTTTTCTCAGGCCAGCATCTGTCGTGAAGCTCAACTCCTCTGAAACGCAAGGGCTGCCCCTGCTCCAGGGGGAGTGCACCAGTGAGGGAAGGGAGCCCAGGACATCTCCAAGGCTGCCTCCAGAGGGAAGTGTGGGGAGTGTCGGGGACAGAGCCCTCCTCAGAGGGGGCTTTTCCCTCAGCATGTGTCTAGAAAGTTTAACTAACCATCCTAGCGGTGCATGTGGCTTTCTTAGGGGTCAAGTAGGGCCATTGCTGCAATGCTAGGGGTAAGCAAAAAGGACAATGTATGAAGTAGTGGGGGAGATGCTCTGAAATGTGTCCTCTTAGTATACCAAAAATGCTGGTTCGAAAGTCCTTTTCTTGAGCTTGGCCTTTGTCATTAGGAGCAGCCAATATAGCTGCTGTGGTTCTTATTCCCTTTAATGCTTGAAAATATTTCCCATGGGGTTTCTAAATAACTCAGTGAGAGACTATATAGAAGGACAAAGTTGTTATTTTTAATTTTATTTCTCCGAATTCTCTAAGTAGGCATATTTTACACAACCACACTCACTTTCTCATGGATTTCATTCATGCATGTGCTCACACCCGTGCACTCACAAGTACCAAGGCATACATCCACGTGGTCTGGCCAGGGTCACTTGTGTGACCCAGAGGACAGGAGGCAGAGGCTGCTGTGTCCTCCTCACGTCCCTGAGGTTGTTCTTGGCAGGCAACAACACACCAGTCTGGGGTTGCTTTTCATACCCTTTAGGACTTGATGTTTACAATTTTTTGCTTCATTGTTTTTTCTCATCCCTCATAATTCTCAGGCAAACTTAATGAATTTCTGTTCTCTTCTTTTTTTTCTCATAGTCTTGATATTTTATGACTCCAGTCTTGTTGCTCATCTTCTTGATACGTTATCTGTAGGTCAGGTTGTTCCTCCTCCTTTTGCTACTTGAATTAAATCATGGATAGGGTGCGATTGGCACAACGGGCTTGTGCCATTCCTTTAACCCATGCTCTGCCCACCCTTCTGGTGCCTGCTTGCGTGCTCTCACACACACATACACTCATATACACATGCACAGACTTCTGCTCTGCCTTAGTTCATCACCAGTTTTAATATTTCTGATACAAATCACTGCATGCAGACTCATGGAGTAACGTCTCTGGCCCCAGAGCTGTTCCTTCCATGGCAGAACGTGTCTCTGTGCATTGTGCATGTTAGTAGTGGGGTTACTTTGAGTGCATGAAGCAGCCCCCAAAAATGCTTGAATCCCTTCTAAGAAGGGGCATAGTTCACACCGCTTCTCCCTGCATCAGGTTCACGGGCTGTGAGGCTGCTGAACGTCGATTTGGTCATTTCTGTAGACGAAGGACATACAGGATATGGTCCAAAAGGATTTCGACACCTTATTTCTGTGTTTCCCAGCCAGAGGCATGTGCTGTGCAATGAGCCTCGTGTGTTCAGTGTCTCGTGTCAGTGATGCCTACAGGGACCACCAGGTCTGCACCCCGCGTGTGGTGAAGCCCTTGCCTTCAGGCTGGGTCGTACTTGCAGCGTGTGCGGAGCAGTTCTGCCACGGGGGTTGTCTGGGTCCCGCTCCTGCGCTTGTGGTGTCCACTGTTACTGGGCATCTACTGATGGTGAGAAAGTCTGTCCCACATGTCCTGGGCACGTCTAATTTCACTGCCCAAGTACTGCAGGACTGCTCCGTGTACAGGTTTCAACTTGCCCATACAGTCGTTTGCCTGGGACTTAGGGAAATTAGGCATCTGAGTTGGATCTGCTGCTCTGCCTGTGCTGCCTAGAGTAGAAGTGCTGGGCAAGGAAGCAGAATCCTTTCCACACCTGTCTCCTTGCCCACACAAAATTTTCCAAGTAGAGCAAACAGATGTATCTGGAAGTCTTTGGTACTGACGGTAATTTCTATTATTAGTGTATAAGACAAGAGTTTACGTGACTCTCCATGCTCCACAAAGAAGTTGAGGCGGAAACCTTTTCACTGAGTGGGGGAGCTGGAGCTTTCCTGCTGGATTTGCCGCGGGTGGATAAAGCTGTTCTCTGCCTTGTAGTGATTTCGTGTGAGCTGGTAATTTATTGTGCAAACTGGGTGGAGATTGTTGCAGCCGTAGAGGCCTCATGCCTGGGTGCCTTTGCTGGTGCTGGGGCAGAGGTGCTGCGGTGGGTGGCTTTGCCGGCAGGGGTGGGAAAAGGTTGACTGCTAAATACTTGCTAAAAACTGCAGTGCTGAGTCTTTAGTCATATAAAATTGATGCCAGAGATGTTGGAAAGTCAGTAGGCTGTCCTAATATGTTGAACGTTTCAGCAGAGATGTGATATTTCATATATACAGAGCGCCTGCTGATGTCACTTGAAAGTCATGCTCACCCAGCTACAGCAGGGATTATTTTTTTGCCTTCTCCAGCTTTTTTAGAGGAAAGGGCAAAAATTGATTGTATGCGTGTGATAATCCAAAGAAAATAAATGCCAAATAATCTCTGAAGTTATTTCCTTTCTTTACAATGAATAACTTCTGCATATGGAGTTATGTGCTATGCACCAGTGACTTTATAAAATATAATTTTATTATTTGGACACCTCTTTCTGATTTCATGTAAAAGTTGTTCTCTTAGTTAATTTTTTTTTTAATCTGATACTAACCTAAGCAATGCAATTGAAATGCCAAAGCCTTACCTATCTAATGCAGACTTCCCGTTTCTATAGCAACAAAACTCGTCCTTGTACTTAATGAAGGAATATTGGATTGTGAGTAACTGTGACTTTAAGGTTTAGAAAAACAAACAGAACCGCTTTATATTTGAAGATTAGAGAAATAAAACAGAAGTGACCTCTTTGCATAGAATAAAAAAATCACCTAGGCTTGGGATACTTCATTAGTAAGAATGAAACCATATTAATGTCATAAGAAGCTCTGTGTTCTAATCTTGTTTTCCTAATTAAAATGTAAAAGCCTTTTATAGCAAGTGAGAGTCTTTGAGGTTTTTTTTCCCCCTTTCTTTTCCAAAGCTGCTGTGTTTGTGGTTAAGCTAATGAAAATCTGGACTGCCTCACAACAGATACATTTTCCTTCTGTATTGGCAAAAATCCATTGATAGTTTTTGTCATTGGATGAAAAGAAAGGGGGGGGGGGGGGGGGGGGGTTGGTTTTTT